AATTACTGGTGAAATGTTATGGTAGAATGTCAAAGTCTTTCATGGGGTTCTTTTAAATGCCGCGTTGTCCCGCGATTGCGTGATTTTGAAGGTGAATTTTGGGAGGAAGTTCTCTCCGTGTATAAAAATGCAACGTGTCACAAAAGACTTAAAATTATTGTAGAAATTGATTGAATATTTATAAATTGCATAAGATGTGCATCTTGTATGCGCATGACATGATGTAAAAAATAAATATCAAATTGTTATTGGCGGTAAGCGATAGCGTGTTGGTTACCAAAAGAATCCAGCAGAGTGTTATGCAATTGGCTAAATTAACAAAGTGGACTTATCCGAACAGTGTACAGGAAAGTAGTGTAATGAAATGTTTCGTTATGCGCTAATCGACTATCATCGTTGCGCCGACTACATCATCGTGCCGCAGCATCGCGGTTAAATACAATAATTGCCATTAAGTAGGCGGACAGTGATCGACCGTTTCTCAAGTGTTTGCAAATCCCCACACACGTACAGACGCGTATCCTATTTGACAATTAAAAACTCGAATGATTTACTAGCTCGGTGAAAGGATTCGAAAGCGGGTAAAAGTAACATGATGCTCGTAGAAGGATGAGTCTAGATTACAAGGCATCTGTCCGATCTTTATTTCGCTGAGCTCCGTCTAATCGCGCGCTTGTCACCTCGCGTAACGGCGCGTTTCCTTTAAAGAACAGGTCGTGTAAAATGACGACCGAAACAAAAAAAACCCCCCGGGAGATCAATTGAAATGAAGCACCGATTGCTCTCTCAGTGCGTCGCCCGGGATTCTCCTTTCACCTTTCGCGGTGTTTGCGCCCGGCGCTGTGCCCGCGCGATGATGATAGACACGAAAAGTAACGTGCATTTCCTGCGAGGTATCGTCCCATTTGTCTGCCCCGACCCGGTTCTCATAATTACTCGCAACCATTTTCCGAGCTATTCGTCTTTCTCAAGAAGCCTCAAACGCTTCTTTCTCACGTTCAAGAAGCTCGCGAGAGATTAGAAAATCTGACAAGCAACGATAGCGGTGATCTATTAATCTCTGCAAGCGCCGCGAACATTTTAATTTTAGCAAGAGTGAAGACACACAACACACCTCAGGTGATTAAAAAATCTATTACATATCAATATATGTGGTACATTTAATATTCTTTTACATAATTTGATCTCTGTCTAAAGTATTCCAGTCTAAGAATCTTGATTTCTACCAGGATTAGAGAATTACAAGCCAATTTCATTTAGCGTTGTCTAACAGTATTAATTTAGCACGTATAATTCTAAAAAGAAAGGAGAGAAAACTTAGCCACACTTAACTTCGATAGTATAATGTATTTTCGTGACACGTACACTCAGAAAAGTGTCCCATTAAGTACACGGATTTTACATAATAACAAACGGACATATCCGATCAAGTTGAATATCCGATGAAAAATATGATCGGTTTTTCAATCAAATTTCATCGGTAACTGCATTTCATCGGATACATTTAATCGGAAGACGTAATCGGAAAAATCAACCATCGGAAACACATTTAATTGGTTTAGCCGATGAAAATTTTTCTCAGTGTATCCTTGAGCCACTTGTTTAAATGCACCGAAAAATAAAACACACGTGAAATTATATGTACATATACCTATAAAAGACGTTTTATAATTTTTATTTAATACAGGAAGTTAATACATTATGTGTCATTTACGACAACAGATGTTCACATAAAATTTTCGAAAGTAAATTGGTCGTTTCCCCCTATTTTCGGATAATACGAGATCCGTTATCTGTGTCCATTTTTAATACAAGTCGACTTTTATTAACAAATATAGAAATGTACTGAAATACGCGACAATTGGATAGGTCTTCTCTAGTGAATTTTAATTACGTGCTGCTAAAACTAGGAATCGATTTTACAATTCTCTTGCTCTATCGTGACGATAGCCCGCGATATTTTGGCGCACGCTCGCTCAGAGTTTCTCGATTCGCGATTCTGTCGCACTCACCCGTTGTGCATTCTTCCGCCCCGCGCTCCACGTTGTTGACGATTCACGGCGATCGAGGAACGGCGACAAGGTTGCCGTCCGAGGGATGTAATTGTCAATTTGCACGATTCTCGCGGTGCACTCTATCAACACACGCGACACGCGGCAGACGAGCGGGAATGGAGATCGAACGGCGATCAGTCGGGGAAGGATGCCGGCGATATTTCCGTCGGCGAGTGTCTCTGCACGCGTTTAAGAGACCGCTAAGGTAATCACCACCGCGCGCGCTTATTCTTCGGACAGTCCGTCGAATCGCGCTCGTGCAACGACCAGCCACTTCTCTACTTGCCGGATGTAATCCGGCTTGCAGCGGTCGGCCACCACCGATCTTGCTCCTGGGTGGTTGCTTTTAGAGCGACTCGCACCGATCGACTACCTCAATGTGGTACTCGCGATCGTGTCCTGCCTTCCTGCCGCATAGTTCTTTATGAAAGCGCAGAGTGTGCACCGTCCTGGTGGTGGAAAGCTCCCTAAAAGCGCGGTGCTGACTCGTAGAAAGGAAACGAGAAGGGAGAGGAAGTCGGGGAGGGAGAGTTGAGAGGAGACGAGAGAGAGAGAGGTGGAGGAAAGTTATTTTATCTTACGTTATGAGCTCGCCAGGTGAGCGAGAAAGAATCACGAGGAGTTAGCGGCGGACGTGATGAAGAAGGAGGTGGCGGTGGAGGTGTAGCTCCCGTCCACGTCTTACTTTCCTTTCTCTAAACGAGCCGCGCGCGGCTGCTGCCCTCGATTCGAGACATCGATTGTGTCCTGCCGGTCTCCGAAATACGCGCCGCCGAAAGTGCCGCTCGCCGAGCCCGACAATGGATGCTTTCTTTCTTCGTTACCTTTCGATTACACTTTCGAGGAGAACGACGGGCCGCATGGCAGACTCGTTCCAGCTGTACGACGCGCGGATCGGCGATCTCGCGGAGAATCGATAATTGCAGGGTATCGCGAGCTTGCGAAAGACGAACTTCGTAAATTCATCCGTATTATTCGAGGAAAAGTTTGCGAGATTATCATCCTGCTTTTGGCGTATTCGATGGTGTAGTTCTCCGCGGGCTCAAACGAACGAATTATAGTTCGTTCGTTGCCATCATCATTCACTTCATCTGCATACAAATCAGCTTGCGTAACTTTTCGGTCCAAGTGGCTCGAAACACTGCAACTTACATGAATGCGGATTGCGGCACTCTTTATGGCACATTTCCTTTAGTAGCAGCAAATAAGATGAAGGTGGGGCTTGAAGCAGCCCCTAACGTCACCTGGGTCTATTAGATTTGCTCTTTTGTAACACCCGCTGGTTTCTTCACGCCACAGTCCCAGGCCTGCTGTCGTTCACGCCAGGCTTAACAGCCTATTCACCCTCAGCTTTTCTAAATCTGTGTGCTCGAGAGATATTCGGCCCAGGAATTTGTATCTTTTGCGAACTAGTCCCGAATAGCGATATAAGATACGCACGCTGTCTTATTTCTCCCCGCGTAGAGGGTATCGGTTTTGTTCAGCTAACTTGAAATTATATAAATAAGTGCTCCATGGTCTGTTAAAACCGTGATCTCGATCTTTATTGTCTTCTTGTTCATTGTTAGAAGAATTGTCGTTTGTTCTACTTGACAAGAGTTGTCTCATCGTTAGCTTGGATTGTCGGCGAATCCCCGACTGGCCTCCCAGCTAGCTCAGTGCTTTAGCTTCAGGCAGTTTTTGATGATTCTCTTTTGCCCGACAAAGGGGATATTGCAGTCCGATCATCTATTTCGACTCCGATCTTACAATTAGTCAGTCTATGAGTCTCATTACTGACAATTCTCTAGTAATGTATTTCTTTTACAGTCCGCAATATTGTAAACGAAGATGCGCAGCTTGTTATGCAAGTTATCTGCCGTCCTATTATATAAATTATGAAAGTTATACTAGGTATAATCCTTTAGATACTATAATTGATTGCATAATTGATTTATGTATGCGTGCCCGAGGAGCCTGAGCAAAGAATCGTTAACTCGCGAGATTTCGTTCATACGATAGGATAAAGGCACCTAATTATCGCCTACCAAATTTCAAATCGTTCTCACGTAAAAAGTAAGTGTCCGTTTTGTCTGTATTTAGCCTCAAATGACAGAGAAAACATTTGTGTTTCGTGTACAATAGGTTAGAACGGTTAAAATCTAAAGAATTTTAATCCACATCGAAAAGAAACGAAAACGGCAAAATCGGGGGTTTGAAAAAATGGCACCCAATATCGCCTAGCTTATAACTTTTTACAAAATCATTGTTTATCGATACGTATGAGTTTGCGAAACTATAGATATTTATTATTTTACATCATATAAACGTTTGTAGGTGTCCAAAAAGTTTTTTAATTTGCGATTAAGTTAAAAAAAAACTTTATTATATACAGGGTGAGTCTTTTCATATCCGACCAAATTTTTGAGAAGGTAGAACGGATCGAGATGAACGAAAAAGTCCTGTACCATTTTGCAATTTTCGTAATAGTTAACGAGTAATTAATTATTAAAAATCGTTGTCTTAGGCCGGCCTACCGCCCAATTCGAGCGCGTGGCAAGATGTGACCGCCCAGCGATCGATATTGCTATGCGCACATCTCGCCACGCGCTCGAATTGGGCGGTAGGCCAGCCTAAGACAACGATTTTTAATAATTAATTACTCGTTAACTATTACGAAAATTGCAAAATGGTACAGGACTTTTCCGTTCATCTCGATCTGTTCTACCTTCTCAAAAATTTTGTCGGATATGGAAAGACTCACCCTGTATAACACGCTATTTCGAAATATTTATACATCGAGTCAATTCGTACTCTTTTTGTCTCTTTTTTTATTCTTAAAAATGCATGCACATGTCGCCTAGGCGGACACCTCCGTAATAATATAGCGGGCGGTATTGAGTGCATCCTAATCTAGACACTAGAAGCATCGTAACAAAAATGTAAACACGCATGTTAAAAATCAGCTTAAAATAGTGAAGTATATCACTAATTATGTATTCCTAGTAAATATTTATACATCAAAAGAACGTTTGAGCTTACATTCTCACTATGGAATGTACTGTTCGCCAAATTTTTCAGCATTTTTAATTTGTTTTAATGCGTCTATAACGTTGTAGCTACAATGTGTCTTCTTGCTACATGTTTAGCTACTAATTCTATCTATTGCCGATTGATATCAGCACTTTGTTCACGAGATATCACGAGATATTACGTTCTGAGCGATATTAGGTGCCTTTACCCTATCACATGATAATTGGTTTACATAGTACTTTATTTCTTTTTATGAATTCAGACGTGGCCACTTGGTCGCTAACTAATGACCAGCACGGTAGGATAATGCAATACGGTTGGGAAAGTGCATTGTGTATTTTGTCTGGCCGTGAAATCAGTTTTGTTCCGCGGTGGTGAATCAACGTTTTACGCGATGGAGAATTAAAGTATCGCAAGAAATCGTGATATCGCGGTAAACCAGATGACACGAATTTACGTCACTCGCAGTTGCCCAATTGTACGCTTTGCGTTTCATTGCCGATGAATATCGAAAGGGGAATCTAATCAACTGATATTACAAAATGTATTTAGAAATGCTGAACGAAAATATTATCATTAAAATGTGACTCCCTATGTTTATTTTTGTATTAAAAATTCTTCTCAGCGTACGTTTAAGCAACTATATGCGATTAGTAATCGTCATTGCTCTCTTTTTCTAAATTATTGAGATTAACAAATAAAATTCATAAGGCTTTGACGTGAAATCACGAATACGAAGTAATAAAGGATATAAGAGCCAAGACAGGATGTCAGTGTTTCAATAATTTTAATTTTTTAATTTATTGGAAAAAAATTTACCCTGGCTGAGGTAAATTTTTCGCAATAAATTTAAAAGCTAAAATCATTCAGACACTCGCATCCTGTCTTGGCTCTTATATCATAAAATATTATCATTAAAATGTGACTCCCTATGTTTATTTTTGTATTAAAAATTCTTCTCAGCGTACGTTTAAGCAACTATATGCGATTAGTAATCGTCATTGCTCTCTTTTTCTAAATTATTGAGATTAACAAATAAAATTCATAAGGCTTTGACGTGAAATCACGAATACGAAGTAATAAAGGATATAAGAGCCAAGACAGGATGTCAGTGTTTCAATAATTTTAATTTTTTTATTTATTGGAAAAAAATTTACCCTGGCTGAGGTAAATTTTTCGCAATAAAAGCTAAAATCATTCAGACACTCGCATCCTGTCTTGGCTCTTATATCCTTTATTACTTCGTATTAGTGATTACATTATCAAGTTATGATATACCAAAACAAAAATTGAGTAGGTACTCGATTTGATGTTACATAATATATGTGACGAACGTAAAATCACTCGGGGAAGACCTTTAATTTCATTATTTATTCACTTATATTACATTTTACGAAATGCCTATAAATGCAAAATATAATTGATCTGTTTTTTGTCCGCCTTTCACTTTCCTTTTCAATCTGAAAGTTTTGCCATCGTATATGGAGCACATTCCGGGATAGTACTTACGAAAGAGAGATGTTTAGAACGTATCGCCCGGGGCGACATATCTATCTTCATAATAAAGAGACTTAGTATACGTACGGCTATAAATATATCTTTCGCAGTGAGAAAAATAATGAAATTAATACACGCGATGATCGATTTATAATATTTTACAGCCTGCGTTATGAAATTTGTCTTTTATTTCAAACCGCGGACGAGTTAGAAGAAAGTAATTGTATTTCCGGGTTGCAATAAATTACCATTAAATTTATTCTCTTGTCCACTTGGTTTGGTAATAGCGTAATAAGCGAAGTGAAAAGATCCGTTTTGAAATGGACGTCCTATATCGTCGTGCAAAACCGGTCAATTAAGCTCACACGATAAATTGTACCTTGTACAAGGGCTCGACTGTATATAATTGAGTCTTGAATCGATAAGAATTGAATTGTCTTAATGGTACATGAGAAAATTGAGCGGGTAGCTCCAGTTTTCCTTTCCCGGTCATTTAACATCTCGTTTCTGCGACCTCGCGAATAAATAATTCAATCAGAACTTAACTAGTGTCCTTTCGATTACACGCGTATATGGACAAATAAACGCTAATAAACAAGAGATCGATTGTGGTGAATATATCTTAGAAATCGACGTTCCGAAAAAAAAAAGGTTAAAATTGCTCAATCTAACTGCAACCGGAATTCTGCGTACCAAAAACTTTTAATCTCCACCTAT